GTGAGGAATGATGTTTCGTCTTGTACAGCGACAATACCATCATCAACATAAATCGCCATGAGCATCTTGTGTCCCGAGTCTTTACGAGTGAAGAGGCAGTGGTCAGATTTGCTTTGGGTCATACCATGCTTCTTTAGCACGTCCGTAAACTTGGCATTCCAACATCGACCAGCTTGTTTAAGACCGTACAAAGGTCGGAGCATCTTGCATATACGTCCGCTTCCGTCATCATATCCTTCGGGTTGATACATGTATATATCCTCAGTCAAATCACCATAAAGGAAAGCTGTCTCCACGTCAATTTGAAATAATTTTAATTTCTCCTTAGCTGCTGTTGCAATTAGAGCTCGAATAGTGTCGTAGCGACACACTGGACTAAAAGTCTCCCCGTAGTCGATATCTTTCATCTGCGTATATCCTTTCGCGACTAATCGAGCCTTAAATCTTTCGATAGAGCCGTCTGTGTTAGTCTTCACTTTGTAAACCCAGCGATTTGCAAGAATCTTTCTTCCTTCAGGTGGTTCAACAAGTTTCCACGTACTGTGCTTGTTTTGCGAAGACATCTCTTCGTTGTGATAGTTCATCTTCTACATTGCGAAGAGTTTCACCCTCCTGTAAGTCAGTACCGTCGGAACTGCCTGAAATTTCAAACTGCATACCAGTTGATCTACTGGCACTAGAAGTAGTTTCTGAAGACAGGGAAGTGGGACCTATCTGCTGTTCGTTGAATACCACATTGGCGCTCTTGACTGTGTCATTCTTTGATGGTATAAAAACACGATAGCCATCACAATCACAATATCCAACCAAATATCCCTTTACAGCCTTGCCGTCCAGTTTACTTCTGTTGGCATCCGGTACATGTACAAAAGCAGTTGATCCAAAAATTCGAAACTTGTCGATTTTCGGCTTGCGTCCGAACCATACTTCGAATGGAGATTTTCCTGTGATCTTACTTGGTCCAGTTCGATTAAGAATGTGAACAGCCGTCGATGCTGCTTCTGCCCATGAAAACTGTGATAAGCCTGTATCTTTGAGCATAGTACGAACTGAGTCCATTATTGTGCGGTTTTCTCTCTCAACTGCACCATTTTGTTCTGGCGAGTACGACATAGTGATTCTTAACTTGATGCCTTCATCATCAGTCAGTCTTGTCATCTTAGCATTGTCAAACTCACGACCGCCGTCTGTAACCAGTTCTTTCACATTTATACCGTCCTTACTAGCCTGAGTAAGAAACGATTTAATCTTATCTACAGCTTCATCTTTATGTCTCAGAAATTCCACAATTCGAAATTTGGAATAATCATCTTTGATCACTAGCATGTACTTCTTTCCTCCTCTTGATAAAACTGGCGATTCGAGTAAATCTGCATGTATGATTTCACCTGACTCCTTCGTTTTAAATCGTTTTGATTTGAAAGTCCATCGGCACTGTTTACCATACCTGCAAGGTTCGCAAAAGAGTCCATCATCAGTGAAGTCTTTACCATTTTGGCGCAAGTACTGTTTCACATATTGTACTCCCTGATGCCCGAGTCTTCTGTGCCAAACTGAAAGTGGCAGTTTTGTCGTTGTCATCATTGTTGTATCTGGGAAAGGTATTATTACGTCATCGTCGACTAGGTAAGCTGAAGCAGCAGAACCTCCTTCTGGCTTGACCGGTTTTGCACGTAATTCAAAAAGACCACTTGATGAACATGGAGCTTCTAAAAGTATATTTTCCGGGTTTTCTTTACGAAAGAAACGACAAACCATGTCATCTGAATCTCCGAAGTTTGAGATTCCTCGTTTCATGGCCTTTGACGCTGATAGTAAATTTTTGCTGATATCTGGTGCATACAATACATCACTGAGCTCAATAGACTTTTGCAGGGTTCCAACAGTTACGCACATGTCAATTTCTCCGCAGCCATACGCTGGTATTGTCTGTTTGTTACCAACTACGATTTCTACTGGCTTGTCAAAATGACGATACGTCTTGAAATATTCGGCTGAATTTATGATGTGTGCTGTAGCTCCATCGTCTTTGAGCCACACATTTCGGCNCCATACGCTGGTATTGTCTGTTTGTTACCAACTACGATTTCTACTGGCTTGTCAAAATGACGATACGTCTTGAAATATTCGGCTGAGTTTGTGATGTGTGCTGTAGCTCCATCGTCTTTGAGCCACACATTTCGGCTACTGTCATCATGGCAAATAAATGCACTACAAAGAGTAGTAAGAAAAGTTTCGGTTTTATTACCTGGCATCCTCGGCTTGTCTGGAAAATCAGGACAAAATTTTCCCATGTGCCCTGACTTATTGCACCTAAAACAGTTGCCACGGGAGCTTTTCACACCATTATTGGCCTTACTAAGTTTCATACCTGTAGCTGTTGAAGGTTGAGATTTTCTCGCCATCTGGTATTTTGTCCCCTTCCTCCATTTCTTCTCTCCGTTGGCACCGTGCCCTGCACTTCTTGTTAGAAAAGCTGTTGTAGCGTCTTCTTTCACGCATACACTTTGTCTTTGAAGGCGCATCTTTATTTGTTCCATCAGTCTCTCGGATGACTTTTCGGCTTTTGGCATCGAGTCCCACTGTGACTTGAACTCCCTGTATTCGTCATCCGGAAGAATCGATAATATGCGCGGCATGAGCAGATTTTGAGGCAACTTCCCTTCGCCGCTCGCCTCCTGTTCTCGTTGCAAGTCGACCCATAACGTACGCAA